ATTAATAGTTTAGTCTCTCTTCTTTCTTCTTTTTTTTTTCATTATGGGGGAATTGGTTCCCCCCCTTGGGGGTATCGATTCCCCCCCAACATTCTGGAATTCATACTCGTTTGAGGGGGAATCGATTCCCCTTGAATGGGTACCGATTCCCCTAGCCAGAAATCCATTTTGAGCTCGAAAATCACCTTATTTTAGCTCAACCTTCCTATTTCACTTCCTTTAATACTCCTAACTTTAATACACATACTTAAACTTATTCTTATTCCCTAATCACTTCTTTAACTTCAAATCTAATCATTCCTATGTAATTGCAAAAATTATACTAGTTTTGCAACATGTTCAAATTCCTATTCTAACACTTCCTATCCCTTAATTGACTTGATGACAAGTCAAATTCAACTTCCAATTCTCAATATAAACTTTATTTCGATATTTCATTCAAAAACTTCAAATCTTTAAATCCTCATAAACTCTTCATTTTGTTGTTTTAAAGCAAATTAATCCTTCCTTAATCTTACTTAGCATCTAATAATCAAAACTAAACTTAAATTTCAGCACATAATCAGTTCAAGAGAAAACTCACCTTTGCTTGGCTTCACACGTGGAGAAGAGAAAATGAAGAAGAAAAGAGAGAAGAGATTTTTCTGGAAAATCTCCCCTCCTTATCCATATATATATATATATCATTTAATTATAATTTTCAAGTCTAATGACCATTTTGCCCTTTAATTCTTTGGATAATTACTATAAACTTTTAGGAAATATTTCCGAACAAATCATTAAACTATTAAACTATTATACTTTAATCACCATATTCTGAAATTTTACACTTTTGGTCACTAACCCGTATTTTGGGATGTTACACATGTAGTAGGGTGAGGCTTCATATAACGACATAAGTGTATTGCTAAGGAGTGTTCTTTTTATCAAACCAAGAAATGTGTATATTTCTCTCGTCATGTTTAATACTGTACGACTTGGTTCTTGTAAGGTGAAGACCTGTTAGGTAAAATAAAGTTCTCCTGGCCTAAACTGAATGTTTGGATTTGCGGAATGATAAATGTTCTAACATTGATGTGCATCATTGATCTTCTTAAGTGTTTTCTAATCTTTTATAAGAATAACCTCAACTTTTATATTTTACTTCTCCTGGCCTAAACTAAATGTTTGGATTTGTGGAATGATAAATGTTGTAACATTGATGTGCATCATTGATCTTCTTCTTAAGTGTTTCTTATCTTTTATAAGAGTAACCTCAGCTTTTATTGTCATTCTTTTCCACTTAAGTCCACCAACTTTAATCCTATGAATTATGGCTCCTACGCGTGTATCACTCAACATATTTCTTATTTTACAAAATACACTTGGATTTCTTGATACAAATTTAGGTGAGGAATAAAATGGGATAAGAAAATTGGTGGTTTCTCAGTTTAGTTGGTCTTAATCCTACGACATTCCTTGCTTTATTAATGTGTTGGTTGGATGTAAAAAAGATTGTTAGGTAGAATTGAAAAATGAAACTTTGTTTTGTAAAATACATATTTTAATCTAACCCATATTTTTCTCATATTTCTTCTCATCTCCTCTCTAAAATTAGAATAATTTACTTTTATACATGATGATAGAGATTTAGCCCCCTTCTCCTTCCCCCTCTCTAAAATACATATCCAATACTAGTAAAACACAAAGGAGTTTCATTTTGTTTTAACATGACCATGTACAAAATTGAATGTGTTCTGTTTTCCAGTTGAGATCGTGCAATGCCACTCTCCATTCGGATTGAGTATTCATTCGAATCAAGCGAAAAATTTAAGTTAGTCGAGTTTATGAGTACTATTTTTATATCAGGTCGAATTAATAAAATTCGAGTTAAATCTAATATATTTATTTAAACTTTTATCCAAATTTGAACGCAAATATAATAATGTCATAATACCAACTTACTCCATTTTAAACAACTCTCTTTAATTATATGCGATATACATATGTGGATTTTTCTCATATCATTTTTCGTATGTGTAAGTAAAATTTGTAATATTATTTACTAATTTAAATATTATTTTAATTTATATAATATATTTATAATGTTCAGTCTTAAAAAATAATGGATTTTGACAACAAAATATTGATGATAGTATAAAAAGAGTTCATTGGTTGATATGAATACAAAATTTGCAAAGAGTCACAATTAGAGACCAAAATAAATAAAATATAAAGTTGAGGGATTAAATTGATAAAATAAGAAATGTGTTATAAAAATATGAATCAAAGTTATATAGATATTTTATAGTATTTGAGGAGTTAAAAAATAAATATAAAACTAAGAAATATACAAAGTTAAGAGTCTAAATTGAAAACAAAAATCAAGTTACATAGATATTCTACAATAGTTAAGGAAGACGTGATTTAAATTTAATAAAAAATAAACTTACACCAAAGAACGAAATGAAGAAACAAGAAGATTAAAGACAGAGATGTAAAACAAGTAAATTACTTAGTTAAAGATTACAACAATTTTATTTTAATTTTTTGGTTTTTAGAATATTCAAACTTTGAAAATTCAAGCTCTACTCAAATGTATAAATTAATTCAAATAATTTAAAATTTAAAAATAATTATTTTTTAAAATGACATCAATTTTTTTAATAGTATATGGTGATTTATAAGACAATATTTGTTTATAATCATTTTTAACAATTGACTACGTACATACACTCGCATACACACAGTTTGAATCAAAAACTTCTAGAGAAAACAATACTATTTTTAGTCATTGTCGCTCTATAGATAAATTAAATATAATTTTATTCATTCAAATCCCTTATAATAGGGAACAATACGAAAAGCTTTCGATTTTGGCCCAATCATGTCTCTACATTCATCACAATTTTCATGGAATAAAAGTTAAGATAGCATTATTAAGCACAAATGGTCACGAGGCACCCACTTTAGGCACACTAACCAGTCTTCCCTCTCCGAATGTTCTGTATAAATACAAAACCGAACATCTTTTTCATTAGAAAGAAAACTCAAAAAAGATTAACTCAATCTAATGCCGCCCCACTTGGTTTAGCTTAAGTTCCCACCATGGAACTTTCTACCAAAATCTCGTATCATCGTTCCTTCTCATAGGATCTTAAATGATTTGTATTTTTATTTTCTCGTTCATCAATGCCTCACTTTTGTGTATTGAAATTTTAACAGCACGATGATGTCAATGGATCTTATTGTCGTTGTGGTTATGTAGACAAAACGATGTCGTTTTGTGTATTGAACTTTAAGGATATATCGATTTTGTCACTAAACTTTAAAAATATTCAGTTTTAGGATTTGAACTTTTTTATCCACTGCTAATAGTCAATCCTTGTCCGTCATAAATCATCCTTGGCGATAATATCGATACCAAAATGTTCATATTTCACTACTTTTTCTTCTCATCAGATTGGATTTCCATGAAATCCACTCAAAACCGATAAAAAATTGTCTAAAGATTCGATGTGCTAATGCTCTGGTCTCCTCTGATGACCATCTGATGATGCTAGTTTTGACGTATGTTCTTCTTCTTCTAGAAATAATGTTTCTCTCCATTCGAACATTCAAATAAACACCCCAAATCTATAAATACAAGAAAGCCCCCAAACCCTAAAAAAATATAATTTTTTTAAGTTTAATTCTATCGATTTTGAGTGGATTTCATATAAAACTAATCATATGAAAAGAAACATGAGTTGAATATGAACATTCTGATATTCATCTTATTGCGAATGACAACCATTGAAGGGAAACAATTATCTGCCGGTGACGACTAGAACAATTCAATGCCTAAAATCGTACCATTTTAAAGTTTAGAACCAAAAGTAGATACACTCCTAAAGTTCAGTGCATAAACATTATTTTTGACATCAATAACCATACTAAAACGATGTTGTTTTATTCATGTCATTACAAAATTTAAATTTTAACAGTTGATTACTATAATTACTGTAAAAAAGAAATGTACAATGTTAAAAAAATTAATAGTACTATAAGCCACTAAAAATGTAATGGCATATTGTGTAGCTTATTATTAACTTAATGTTGTTAGAAAATCCCACACTATACGGGAAATGTTTCGTGCTGTGCGAAATCAGCGGTTGACTCGGAAGCCTGAAAATAACATCTCAAAGTAATGGGGCTTGAGCTTCTTAATTTAGGCGCAACAGTTCCCTCCACTTTTATAACTAATAGACCTGCTATTGGATCTAGAGCACACCAAACAAAATCAAGAAGACGTGTCGTTTGATGAAGCATTAGTTATTTGAAAAATGTTTTCACCGTCCATCTATTTAAATTAATTGACAATCTATCATTTTTGATAATATAATGCCTGAAAAGTGGATACAATGTGCATTTTTGCTAATAAAAATTATGCACTTTTATCTTCATCGGGTCGGCAGTGACGTGGAAATTGAACTTTGGATTGGTAGCGGCGAACCAATATTATTCCGTCCTTTTAGTAAAATACAAATTAAAAACTTAAAACATTCCAGTATGTAGCACTATGCCACTATCTCTAATATGCAATGCAACCATATGATTTGGTCGGTAAGAAATTTAAAAAAGATATTTAAAAATTGAAAATAAATTTCTGGGAAATAATTTCAATTTGAATATGAATAGTAAAATAAACCATTTTAATTAGCAAAATTGTGCAAATAATATAGTCAGGAAAAAGAAATGTCTTTATATTTTGCAGTAAAAAAGAATGTGGACCATAGAAGGCACGGATCCTCTTTCTCTAGGTGCCCTGCAATGCAAACTGTCAACAGAGCGGCCAGCTATGGCCTAATATACACCACTTTTTCGGATTTTTAACTTTTATTGTTTTCCCAAAAGAGTAAAAAGAGTTATTACTGGCATAATCAGTGTGTGTAAACAGCCCAGAAACTGCCATAAAATGGGATGTGCTCATCTCACTAGTAAATCTCCGCCCTTCCTTCCTTATCACACTCCAAAATTCACTCTTATATCATCTCTTTCTAATCCCCCCACTGCGGTCGAAAGCTTCAATGCGTATGCCCTCTTCCTTATCCCAATATCCCTGAGCTTACATTCCTTTCCCACCTTTTATTCCGCCCCGCCCCGCCCCTACAAGTCTCGCAAAATCTTCTCTTCTGCTGCAGCTGTGCTCGGTAACTATTGAATCTCAATTCCTACCTCCTTATTTATAACTAGTCGTTTTTATGGTATTGGTTTAGGGTTTGATTAAGTTTTGTTCACGAAGATGAACTAAATTCATTTTCTTGTTACAAGCGTGCAGTTGTAAATATCTAAGCTGAAAAAACTCGCGAAAAAATGGCTCCAAGGAACAGCCGCGGAAAGGCCAAAGGGGAGAAGAAGAAGAAAGAAGAGAAAGGTATACCTATTAATTAGTTAACTGCTTTATTAGAATTTCCACTTCTCAGTTCCCTGTAATATATTTATTGAAAATTTTGGCTTGGAATTAACCGGCCTTTCTTTGTGTTTGCAGTTCTTCCGGTGGTGATGGACATCACCGTGCACCTCCCAGATGAAACTCGTGTTGTTCTCAAGGTTTGTCCGTGCGCTCGGTCGTTAAACTCTCTCTTCTTCTTTTTTCACGCCCTTTCCACTTGCAAGTTTTGTTTACCGTGTAAAAAAAATGGGCAGGGGGATATCAACAGACAGGATCCTAGATGTTCGTCGGCTACTATCGGTGAATACAGAGACCTGCAACATCACAAATTTCTCCTTATCACATGAGGTAAGGGTGCACTAAACTACTTTACTGAACATATTATTAGTTGTTTTTATAAATAATAAAACCATTAATAATAACATCCTTCTATTATATTTTAAATCCTGAAAAAGAATGTCAGCTTCAAAAGAATATAACAGCAGAAACGACATAGAGATGATGCTCAAGTTAATAAAATTATCGTGGCCATCGTTTTCCATCTCCGAAATAATGGACTGTAATTTTGTTATCGTCTTCTTTAGATGAGGGTGCATCTCATTTTGCGCTACATACAAAACAAATTCGTATTTCTGTTTTTCGTTTATTATTTTAAATGAGATTAATCCGAGAGAGAGAGAGAGAGAGAGAGAGAGAGAGAGAGAGATTATTTTTAACCGCGATCAGTACCTTTAGCCGTTTCTTGTTTTAACGCTTCGCAGGTCAGAGGGCTGCGGTTAAAAGACACCGTCGACGTTTCGGTGCTCAAACCCTGCGTTCTAACCTTAACGGAAGGTAAGACACGAGGATGGCAAAAATGTAAATTTAATTTTAAAAAATGCGAACGTTGATTAGTGATGACGTGGACGAAAAATATACACGTTACGGTGTGTTGGAAACACGATTTTGCTGCGCGCCTCTTAATATTCTCATTTCCCTCCCTCCCCCCCCCCCCCCCCCCTAACTGCTAGTGTATTTGTGTTTCTGTTTTCTGCCATCAAATTTTGGAAATAAAACAGAAGAGTACGATGAAGAGAGCGCGGTGGGGCACATTAGAAGGATACTGGATATCGTGGCTTGCACCACGAGCTTTGGCTCATCGGTCCCCGCCAAAAATCAGCCGAAGTCCGAAGCCGGCAAGAATGTGGCGGTTGCGCCGGAAAAAGGCGGTGCAGCGGCTAAGAAAATCGTCTCCGGTTTGAATAAGGAATCATCTCCGAAATCTTCAACGAAGGACGCGCCGGTAGATCCAGAAGGAGAGATGAACCATTCTTGTCCTAACCTCGGCACTTTCTTCGAGTTTTTTTCCCTCTGTCATCTCACTTCTCCTCTTCAGTGTACTCTCTCTCCCTCCCTCTATCTGTCTGACTGTCTTTGTTTGCGTTTCCTCTTGTTTCCCCCTCGCGTACGGTTTGAACTTAGCCTAGCTAGCGACTATTTTTTTTTTCTTTTCATTTTCAGTTATAAGGAGGGCAACGAAGCGGCAAGTTGAGGAGATCTCACGTGACGATCATCTCTTCTCCCTTGATGTGAGATCTTCGTTCTTGAACCTCTCTTTCTTCGCATTACTGTTTCTTTTCTCCCTCTCTTGTATTTGTAATTGATTTCTGTGATAATTACCAGGTTAAACTTTGCAATGGAAAACTGGTTCACGTGGAAGCACGCCGGAAAGGTTTTTATAGCGTTGGGAAGCAGCGGATTCTTTGTCACAATCTTGTTGATTTGTTACGCCAACTTAGTAAAGCTTTTGATAAGGTCAGTTTTAAATTTTTCCTTCCTTTTAAGATATTACTCATTTTGTTTTATCTCAATTGAGGAATGTTTGATACGTGATAAGTTATTGATTCTCTTCTTAATGAGTTTACTGGTTTTGTAAATGATAGTCTTTCGTGCCTTATTTTAAATGGTTTCTCTCGTTAAGCATGATAATGTTTGATCGCATTGTTTGTTTATCAGCTAATACGAGTCGATAGTGTTGTGTGATGGGAGTTTCGATAATATATCATAAATAGATATTTTAAGCTGAACGGGCAATTTAGAGAACGATTTTGATTCTTAGAGATATAATAACGAGGTTAGATTTTCAACCTATGGGTATTTTAGAGCTGTGATGGATGTTTAGTGAATCTTTAGTAATAGATTTTTTTTAAGTTATAAGTAAAATTATAGACATAATCATATATAATTATAAAAAAGACATCTAAAATTATAATCTAAGTCAATTTTTTCAAAGCATGATCAGATTGAAAAATCGAAATGTATCTTGATTTTAATTAAAATAAGTTTATACATGACCCGTATAAAATAAGAACTAAAACAAAATAAAATTTGGAGAGTTCTCATACAAAATTTATGTAAGATAACAAATCTTATTTTTTTAGGGTAAAGTACACAAATGGTCCTCCGATTATAGAGCAATGTTTTGTTGAGGTCCCAACTATTAAAAGTTATAAAATGGTCCCTTGACTATAGGATGCTATTTTATTGAGTCATTCAACCATTACAAGTTATAAAGTGATCACCTGACTATTCATATATTTCAACCTCGTCCTTTTCCGTTAAATAATTGATGATTGTCTAAGCTGGAAGTTAACATGCTGAAATCATATTTTAATGATATTTATTGACACGACCGTTACTTTCAAGTATTGCTCTCCACGACATAACATAAACAGATAGTATATCCATAAAATACAGGTCAAACGGTTTTGAGATAAGATTTTATCTTATCTCAGTCAATAGGTTAATATCTAGTTTAGACAACCACATATTTTTTTAATAGAAAATGATGAGTTGAAATATATGAATAGTCAAGTGACCATTTTGTAACTTTTAATAGTGGAGGACTCAAAAAAGCAGTATCCAACGGTCATGAGACAATTTTGTAGCTTTTAATAGTTGGAAGACTGAATAAAATAACTCCATATAGTCGAAGGACCATTTGTGTACTTTACCCTAATTTTTAAACCTAATAAATCAAAACTTCATAAATCGATATGAAGTCTTGGTGAAATAAAATTTTGAAAATTTTGAGGTATTTAATTATTGGTATTTGATAGTAATGTTTGTGAATTGCCTTGGCAGATTTTGTTTTAACATTGCACCTATGCTAGTTATTATTATGGTGCATGTATAACAGGATATTAGTTTGTAAATTTCATCAGCGGATTTCTTTACGGTGATTCCGATGTGGAGATAATTATAATAGGATTTTGTGTTTGATTTTTATATATAAGTTGTTACAGAATTATAAGATTTATAATAAAATATTCTTAAAAGTTTTTATTAAAGATGTAGATAAAGTGATAATAAATTTATAGATCTTTAATTGACAAAATTTATAGATCTTTAATTGGCATTAATCTTGAGCAACACTTATTAAAAAAATCTAGTATTTCCTTGCATGTTTATAATATTTGTTACATGAGTACGTGCCATTTTTATGTACTAAATCCTTGGTTTGGGCCCGACAATATTGCGAAGCTATCCTTTTATAAATATTGTGCGACTTGTTTTAACTTCATTTTTGACAAGTTAAAGGGTTTCTCTTTCAATTATGTGTATTATTCAGTTCAAGTTGCCTCTTTTGACCGTTCGAAATAATTTCCTGATGTTAATATCTTGTTAATTACAGGCATACAGCGAGCTCATGAAAGCATTTTCGGAACGTAACAAGGTATATGATTATTTCATCATGTCTTTTTCTTTAGCGGTTTTGACAGAAAATGCCCAAGAACCAATAAATTGTTCACTTACATTTTTTTAAACTTCCTTTTCCAGTTTGGGAATCTTCCTTATGGCTTCAGAGCGAATACCTGGCTTGTACCTCCAATTGCAGCGCAATCACCATCGAATTTCCCGCCTCTTCCTATGGAGGATGAAACGTGGGGTGGTAACGGAGGCGGTTTAGGAAGAGATGGCAAAAGTGATTCGATACCTTGGGCCTATGAGTTTTCAGTTATAGCATCTATGCCCAGCAAGACAGCAGAGGAGAGACAAATACGGGACAGGAAAGCATTTCTTCTTCACAGCCTATTTGTAGACTTGGCAATTATCAGAGCCATCAAGGCTGTGAAGCATGTAATGGAGAAGCTGGATCCCAGTTCAATAAAACATTGTGAAGCTTTGTACACTGAGAGAGTGGTTGATTTGAATATTATGGTAATGAAAGATGCTTCCAGTGCAAACAGTAAGGTGGACACTAAGATTGATGGAATTCAAGCCACTGGAGTAGATCGAACGAATTTGCGAGAAAGAAACTTATTGAAAGGGATCACAGCTGATGAAAACACGGTTGCACATGTAATATATTATCCGGAAAATGTTAATGATGAATGAAAGTCTCTATATGGTTCAGGAAACTACTTTTGGAGTTGGTGAGACTGAGACAATTTTACATTTTGACTGCAGGACACTTCCACTCTTGGTGTACTAAATGTGAGATACTGTGGCTATATTGCCTTTGTGAAAGTTGAGGGGAGAGAGAATGTGAAAAGCAGTCGACCATCACAAAGCATTGAACTTGAACAGCCTGAAGGCGGGGCCAATGCCCTCAATAATAACAGGTTATTCTCCCCCCCCCCCCCGAAAATTAACAGGTTATTCTGATTTCTACCATGTGTCAAACATATATATGCATCTCGCATGAGCTATACTGTATTTATATTTTATAGAGGGAACAAACTGTTGATTTGGTAAATTTTACTACATGTTTGATAACTGAAACTCTTCTCGAATGTATACGGTAGGATTTTATATTTTATACAGAAGGATTTATCATGTTTGATAACTGAATCTCTTCTTGAGTGTATACAGTAGGATTTAAAAATAACTTAATGCTTAAAGTTTCAAGTTTCGACAAGAACTTTTCTAATGTTCAATATTCATCTATCTTGGAGGGAAAACTTTAACCTCAAAGGTTCATATCATTGGACTGGAGGTCTCTTGACTTGTATCTAGATGGTGCCACTTGGATATCCTTTTAAATTTCAATTAAACCTTTTCTTTTGTCCCTGTATTTATTTATCATGGAAGGATAACTCAAACCTCAAGGATGCAGATCACTGGGGTGTGTTTTCATATTTGCATATAGATGATGTGGCTTACATATAGCTGTTGGTTTCTTTGGAACCTTAGTGGTTTATGTCCTTTTATGCCATTTTCTCTTCCCCCCACCCCCCAAAAAAAAATTAAGAATAACAAAATTGAGCTGATTTTGAGTTGAAAAGGCAAAATATTTCATTTACCACGATGCGTTTATTGTTCTTTAGTTTTTGGTTATGATTTTGCTCCTTCAGTTTCACAAGCAGAATTCTTAAAAGTTCCCTTTTTCTCTCAGTTTGAGATTCCTCCTCCATAAAGCATTACCTTCAGAGCTTAATATTGCTTCTCCTCCACGAGTTTTGGAACATGAAGAACTTAGTTCTCCCCAAGTTTCAATAGAGAGACTGCTGGAAGAAAGTCTGACTAAGCTTGAGGAAGAGGAGCTCGAACAGAAACCTTTTGTGAGATGGGAGCTAGGAGCCTGCTGGATACAACACTTGCAGGACCAAAATAGTACACAAAAAGATAAAAAACCATCTGGGGAGAAGCATAACAAAGAGATGAAGCTCGGGGGTCTTGGGACACCTCTTAGGTCCCTCAAAAACAAGAAAAAATCAGATGGCAATATAGGGTCTGGAAACTCAAACTCTCATCCAGATGATCTTGAAAACGTTACAGCAGCTTCTATAGAATCGCAGCTTGAAACCAGTTCAAGAGATGATGAACTTGAGCTGAAGAAGAAATTATCTGAAGAGGCCTTTGCTCGACTAAAAAAATCAGAGACTGGACTTCATCGCAAGGTAGATATTCTTAATCACTATGGCATAGAAATTTGTATATTGGGAACATATGTCTAACTGTCCATTTTGTTTGACAGTCTTTACAGGAATTAATTGACTTGTCTCAGAAATATTACACTGAAGTTGCTCTTCCAAAACTGGTAATTCTGAGTTATTTCCTCAATTTTCTGATTGTGTCTGTAGTTAGGTTTGTAGTACTTCTGGTTCTAGTACTTATTATGCAATACAGGTTGCGGATTTTGGTTCTTTGGAACTCTCTCCAGTTGATGGCCGAGCTCTGACTGATTTTATGCATACTAGAGGTCTTCAGATGCGTTCCCTTGGACATGTTGTAAGTGCCATACTCTGATGTATTTTTTTTTTATAAATGTTTGCCCTGTATATCATCTTTATCCTGATTGAAAAGTAACTCTTCAACTTATTTTTCTTTCTATTCCGAAAGCTATCACAACATAACCCTGCCAATTTTCTTCTTTCTATTTGTAATGGGTTCACATTTCTATTAGTAGATTTAACTTGGATATTCTTTTTATACACACCAATCCACTGACATTGCATCATGGTTTGTTAAGATTCAGTAAACAGTCCATTTTCTGCTACCTATCCCCATATACTGAAATTGGTTTGTAAGCCTGTGAGATATGGAAAAATGAAAGAGTGACTTTATTATTTCCCATGATATGTTATTGATTGGAATTCTTTCCTGATCTTAGGTGAAGCTATCAGAAAAGCTATCACATGTGCAGTCACTTTGTATTCATGAGATGATTGTTCGGGCATTCAAGCATATTCTGCAGGCAGTGATTGCCACTGTCGTTAAAACTGATAAACTGGCTTTATCAATAGCTTCAGCACTGAACCTGATGCTTGGAGTTCCTAGGAATGGAGAACTACACAAGTCTTGCAAAATCCATTCCCTGGTGTGGAAGTGGTTGCAGGTCTTCTTGATGAAGCGATATGAATGGGATATTAGCAACTTAGACTTCAAAGACATTAGAAAATTTGCAATTCTACGCGGATTATGCCAGAAGGTATTAAATGCTATGACTTTCGGTTCAAAATTTTTAGGCTTTTGGAGATGAAATAACATTCAACTGCGTTAACTAAATAAGTAGCTGTTAGAAGCTATATTGCTCTCTGCCACTATTTTTAAAATTACGCTGAGCCGTTTTATTTGTGGTTTTCTCATGGAAAGAGGGACGTATATACCTTGGTCCTCTTCCTTGTATAAATAGAAATTGATGATAGATTTTGCTAAATTGGTTAAAATACAAAATTTTCTGATCAAAATTCAGATTAAGAGAGTATTCTCGATGGCTATGTAGGGGCACTTTGCATGACAAGAGGAAGGCTATAGATCATAAACCTAGTTGCCTGTTACCAAAAATTGGATGTGCTTTTTGTGAAGTATGAAACTAAGTATCTATTTCCTTTTTCTCTCTCCTTTTCTTATTTTAGGTAGGAATTGAGTTGGTTCCGAGGGATTTTGACATGGATACTCCTAGCCCATTCCAACCATCAGATGTTGTCAGCCTGGTTCCTGTGCATAAGGTGATAAATAATTCAAAAACATTGTCTTTTCTCCGTCCTCAACTCTGTTTCTGAATTTGTTGATTTTATTATGATTTTCTATTTTCTTGCGTTGTATTTCTCTTTAGCAAGTGGCGTGCTCATCTGCTGATGGAAGACAACTTTTAGAATCATCTAAAACAGCCTTAGATAAGGGAAAACTCGAAGATGCAGTAACTTATGGATCAAAGGTTTACTTCCCAGATGATGCCTAACACGTGCTTTATCAACTTTATTTTCGCATCTCTGGTTTCTAATCTGTTATACTTCATTTTCGACAGGCTCTTTCTAAGCTAGTAGCAGTTTGTGGTCCATATCATCGAATGACAGCTGGAGCTTACAGCCTTCTTGCTGTAGTTTTATATCACACTGGAGACTTCAATCAGGTCTTTTTGTTAACCATGTCTATCTGCAGTGTGGAAATCCATATCATACTAAAATACTAACACCCTAATAATTTTTATAGAATTGTTTACTTTCTGTGTATTTACGGTTTCATGTTGAATTTAAATCAATCTATCCCAATTGCAGGCCACAATATACCAGCAAAAAGCCTTGGATATCAATGAGAGAGAACTCGGACTAGACCATCCAGACACAATGAAGAGTTATGGAGATCTTGCTGTCTTCTATTACAGGCTTCAGCATACAGAACTTGCTCTTAAGTACGCTTGTTTGCATTTTAAATGTGGACATTTGTTGTTTTTATATCAAGCCTAAAACAAGCTGTTTACAAATTAACTTCGGTGCCTTGTAGCTATTGTAGTTTACCTTTTAATACTATTAAATATTTAATTATAGATGTTGAAGCAGCTACCTGCACGTTTTCTTGTGGGCCTTTGAATAGATTTAGTGTCTTGAATCTAATTAAAAGCATATAACTAGATGTATTTTCCTTCTCAAATCTTACTTTTTGAAGCTAATATTATTGTTTGCTTTTTGACATTGTGAGTTTCAGAAGAAATATTTTGTAAGATGGTACTGTCAATTTCAAGTCTTATTTTTCATCTTTCTGGTTAACTCGTAATCTGAACATCTTTATATTATTGTTGGATCAGATATGTAAAGCGAGCTCTGTATCTTTTACATCTTACTTGTGGGTCATCTCATCCAAATACTGCTGCAACATACATAAATGTAGCGATGATGGAAGAAGGCCTGGGCAACGTGCATGTTGCCCTTAGATATCTTCACAAAGCTTTGAAGTGTAACCAAAGGTTGCTTGGTCCGGACCATATTCAGGTTTTAGTTTCTTAACTTTTTCTTAGTTAGTTTCATTGAGTTTAGCTTTATGATATTTTTTTGTCAATCATGCATCTATGTCGCTGCTTCATGATACATAACAAAACCTTTCTTATATGCCCTTCTGTCTGTTGATGGCTTCAGACAGCAGCAAGTTATCATGCTATAGCAATTGCGCTTTCATTGATGGAGGCATACCCTTTGAGTGTCCAACACGAACAAACAACCTTGCACATTCTCCGTGCAAAGCTGGGCCCAGATGATTTACGTACCCAGGTATCTTTTGCAGTCCATAGTTTGAACATGAACTCTCTTTGGTATATGATTGACACCCTTCAAAGCTTTAAGAAATCTGCAACTTAGAGATGTGCTGTTACTAATTATAATCCTTAGTTGACAGAGCTACTTATAATGAAGTGAAAGTTGCACCGTTAGCATCTTGGTAATTTTGGCAGAAGCACATCAAATACATGACGAATAAATAGTTTCCGAAAGCACATGATAGATAGGATTATATTTTAGTGTAGCATTATTTAATTCATCACCACCAATTTAACCTTTTGATGATAATCTTTCAGGATGCTGCTGCATGGCTTGAGTACTTTGAGGCCAAGGCATTTGACCAGCAAGAAGCTGCTCGAAATGGTACTAAAAAGCCAGATGCATCCATAGCTAGCAAGGGCCATTTAAGGTAAAATACCTTAGCATATTCCCCGAGGAGGGGTACTGGGTAATTGTGTTTTTGAATGTGTGCAGTTTCCTTTTTGCTACTAGTTGGTCCTGCTATTATGTCAGTTCCTTCTCTCTCTCCCATCTCGGAATAGAAAAATGCAATCCATGCCCTTGGTTGGGTTTTCCTTGAGAAGTCTTTAGGTTTCACCTGGCTATTGTGGAACCAACTTTACATTCCTTATGGAAGGACACATTTACAAAAATAAGAAGACAATTTCCATTTATGAGTTCTAATTGGAAAGTCTCCAAAAAGCAAGCCACAGCCTCTTTTTCTGTAGTGTACCTCTTTTTTTTACCCTTTAAATTACTAATAGTGGCCTTGTACCTCTATTCTTCACTTGTACCTCTATTCTTCACGTGTCATGCCTTGTACCCTTTAAAAATGCAATCCACAGTTCCTTGTTACACACACAAAAGAAACAAAATAAAACAAAACCTGCCCATCGCCTGTCAATGCTGGTGGGGCCAAACTATGAAGCTAATCTGTGCCCTCCATAAGTGTTTTGAATTTTTTTATTCGTTCCCCATTCATTGATATTGTAGTTTATTTACTCTCTCTATATTGACTTAGTTTATCGAGCTGAAGAATATCTAAAATGCTGTTGTAATGATTAAAAATATTAACGTACCAGAAGTTTGTTTGGTTCTCTAAGAACTCTTTCGGTGCTTGGTCAAAATGAAAAAAAATATTTTGGTCAGTACATCGTCGGAATATCAGCTTTTGTACATATTATATTCTCCATCTTGTGTCTGCAATGGGAAAATTCAGACATCCCTATATTGGTGCTGATGTTTATGCTACTTTGCAGTGTATCTGATCTGCTCGACTACATTAATCCAAATCATGATGCCAAAGGGAAATATGTTGCAGCAGGAAAGAGAAGAAGCTACATTATGAAGGTAGGATGGAGTTTAATCTGTGGTTGGTCAAACTAATTGTTGACGATAGGAAACTGAATCAAATCTGAATCTCTTTAAAAATGCCTTTGCTTGAAATGAGTTAAAATGTAGGTACTGGCAGTAGGGCATTACCTAGATGCTGCCATGCTGGTGACTATGTTTTTTTTTTCAGTTTGTACTTATGGCCACGAACTATAGAAAGAAATTTGTAGTTTCAGGTCCTTAGTTACTGAGTTATCCTAACTGTCATAACCTGATTTTGTGCTTCATTGAACATATTCTCAAGCTGTCCATGTAACGTTGAGAAGGCTTATCATGGGTGGAGAATAGTGAAACTAGAACCTTTAGATATGATGTGGAGCTAGCGTGGTACCGGTATCTATAGGATCTGTTAGAAATAGTCTCCAGAAATGAATGTCATCATTCCCCTGTAGGAAAAAGAAATTGTGCCTTGTACAATAAAAAATATATGACGGCACAGTCTCTCCAAGGAAGGAAAAAAAAATTCATTCCAGCTTTGATTAACAAATTTATTTTAAAAAGGAAAGCATCTATACATCCTGTTAAAGGCATTATCATGAGAGGACTCACCGGACAAGCCTGGATAATTGCAAGTCTGTAAATCAGGAAAAGGGAACATGGCTCTTAGCATGCACCATCAGATGCATTACTTTCTTTTTCCTTTTACCCAAAGTGCTCCTCTGATGCAATTCCAAATTTCCAATTCTTCTCTATAGGTGAAAGAAAAACTCCATCTTTCAAGTTGTGAGGCTTCAGCTATTGAGGGTGAAAACAAGGCTTCAGATGAAGAGACACGTGTATATGAACCAGAAGATAAACCAGATGCTGACCAAGTGGTGAGCTCTTTGCCAGTACAGTCTCAGGCTCCTGTTGCAGAAGAGACAACAGAGGCAAGACCGGACTTCGATAATCGCATTCAATCTGAATCGCATGCTGAAGGGGACGAAGGGTGGCAACACGTTCAAAGGCTAAGAGCATCTGTCTCTCTGGGGAGGAGACTAAAGCAGAGACGAGCAACTATAGGCAAGGTTTTCAGTTCACAGAAAAAGAACGTTGATCCTGATATGGAACTTCCTCTAGTCAATGCCAATCATCAAAATACTAGGTATTACCGTTTAAAGAAACGGATAATATCTCATGGAGGTCATGTGGAGCAGCACACTATTAATCCCACCCAAGTTTCAAAGTTTGGAAGGAGAATAAATAGAACTGTTACATACAGGGTTAAGTCCACTTCATCTACTGAAAGTTCAACTGAAATATCTAGAAATGGAGGTGAGGTGTTTAATTCTCCTAGGGATTTAGCTTCTACCTTAGCACCTAATGATCACTGTCCAATCACAAATTCTATAGTCAGTCTTGGGAAATCTCCTTCATACCAGGAAATAGCGTTGGCCCCTCCGGGTAGTATCTCCAAATTGCATTTCAGGCCTGAAACTAATTTTGTTGATAACCCAGACTTCAACATTGAAAAATCTCGAGAGGAAATGAATGAAACAAATGAAAACTTTGAGCAGTTGACTACGGGGATGGAAAACATATATGAAAAGAAGAGAGAGAACAATTTACTGGATTTAACAGATACCCCAAAAGAGGAAATCGTAGTTGAAAACAAGGATGAAAATATGCCAACTGCTGTGATGGAAGATAACTCTTCTTTGACGGTGCCCAAGAGAGTGGAGGGACAAGACCTTGAAACCGGTCATCATGAGGTTCATGAAGCTGTAGAGGATGGCATATTCCTAAAAGGCATGCCAGATTCAATTGATTCTCCCAAAAAGGAACTCTGTGAGAATGATTTACCTGGAAGTTTTGAAACCCGCAGTAATTCAAACTCCACATTACAAGGGGTAGAAGAATTGAATGGCAAACCCTTAGTTCTAAATTCTGATAATTGTCAGGGACTTGCTAATAAAAAGTTGTCTGCATCTGCAGCTCCTTTCAACCCATCAACGTCCATTTCACGTACTGCTCCACTCCTCTTGAACATCACCCTTCCTCCTCCTAGACCTGTTCCGGCGGTAGCACCCTGGGCAGTTAACATGCCTCTTCACTCTGCACTACCTACTGTCTTACCGAATCCAATATGCTCCTCCCCTCATCATCCATATGCATCACCTCCTCCAACTCCAAGCATGATGCAGTCTCTATCCTTTATATATCCATCCTATACTCAATCCCAACCTGTACCAACAATGACCTTTCCTGTAACTACCGCTCCTTTTCATCCCAGTCAATTCTCATGGCAGTGCAATGTGAACCCCCGTGTACCTGAGTTCATTCCTGGAGCAGTTTGGCCTGGTCATCCAATGGAGTTCTCTGTACCATCACCAATTGTTGAGCACATTTATGATCGGATGTTGGAGCCGAAAGTGCAAGGTGATGATATAAACCCAACTTCAGCGCCAATGCTACCACTGGATATTAATACTATCGAAGAAGCTAAGAGAGACGTCAACATTTCAGCATCTGAGGCAATAAATAGTGTTAAGGAAGTAACTGGAGTTGGTTTGGAAAGCATACAGGAAAATGGTTGCTTGAATCAAGATATGATAGATAACTCTGAGAACATGCTGAGCCAAATCACCAACCCACACAGTATGGCTGAAGGCAATGCTGAAAGGAAGACTGATGGTGAGAAAACCTTCAGCATTTTAGTAAGGGGTAGAAGAAACCGAAAGCAGACATTGTGAATGCCAATCAGTTTACTTAGTCGACCATATGACTCACAATCTTTTAAAGTTATATACATCAGAGTCGTCAGGGGGAGTGAATCTCCAAAATCTACTGGCTTTTGTTCAAGTGAAAGTTGTACATCTACTGCTACATAGCTGAAAGCTCTATTTCTTGCAAAGCAGGATTGTCAGGATCAGGGTAGAAGAAACGAACTTTGATCAATCATACGAAAGGCAAAGGCATATCTTTTTTGCTTCATGGTAACAAATGGAAATGCCCTTTGGATTTATGATCTAAATGCAGGTTAGTTTTGATTAACAGATGCCAGTAATTCTTTTTGTAATAATATTTACGTGCATGGCCTGTCTTGCTATGTTCCGGCTATTTTGTACTTTTGTTTCACAAATAAAGAGATTAGGACATGCTGCTAACCCTTATAAGCTCATCCTTCTCTCTCAAATCATACAGATGGAGAAGATTTTTCTCTTTCCCTCTGACCTAAAACTTTTTTTGCAGATTCTGTAGATTTGAATTTCTTCTTGATTCAGCTGAAAGTATGAACAAGGAAAGAAGTGGCTTTTCAAATCAGGTATTGTCACTTCAGTTTCTTTATGTGGTCTTTTTGCTGATTAAAAAGTTGTGGAAAACCATCTGATTAAGTAGAGCGCTGTTGAAGTGACAATTTTGGTGTATACTTGAGTTAGGATATTTATTAGATCTTGGATCACAGAATATTGAAGTCTGCTTTTATCTTCTTTTAGTTTTTTGCCATATCAGTTGACATAGATAATCCATTTCTTTCAACTGTATGACTTCAATTTTGTCCCTTTATGTTTTCAATCTGTTTCTTTATATTGCTCAAACTAAATAAATTGGTGTTAAAATTTGTCGTTAAGACATAAAGTTCTCTATTTCGTGTTTTCCGTTCGGGTGTTGTTAAAGTTATCCGTTATGTTTGGTCGCAAAATCAAGATTTTAAATTTCATTCTTAAATAAATTAATTCCTTATGAGTAATTTGTTTTTATATTTTTTTAACATTTAAGGTTGAATGTTAAATAAATGTTGAATTTTTTTAGTATTAATTTAATTAAAATAAGGGTAAATTATAGCACTGGCCCTTTTTAACATTGATTGGTCTTATTTTGGTTATTGGTTTTGAAAAAATTACATTATGGTCACTTTTATTTTTTATTCTCTTATTTTGGGCATTGTGTCGCTAACTCCTATTAATTTTAGTAAAAATAATTAAATTTTAATTTGACCTCTAAAGAACACTAATTTGATCATAAGTTTTAGATAAAATATTAATTTAATCTTAAATTTTAGATGAAATATTAATTTAATTCTTAATATTTAAATAAAATATCAATTTGACTCTTAAATTCAGTTAAAGTGTCTTCGTTGATCATTTCTCATCGATTGTTGTCATCATTGTCCAATGACCATTGAATTCGAAATTTTTAAATCATTTCTTTTTTAGCTCTTAAACATAAATTCAATATCCATTTGATCGTAAATTCAATAAACTTTTAATTATATTAATTGTTCAAAAAGTATTTTTAAATTGGAAACGGCATAAAAATTATATTTCCTTATTCTTTCCGCAATATAGAGAACTACACATTTTACGTTAAAGATAAAGGGAAAATTACAAAAGTAGCCCTCAATGTTGAAACAAATACTTATTTCATATTTTCCCCTTTTAGAGCATTTTAGCATTCATATTTCAATTTTTTTATCAAAATAATTCATGTTGGATGGAAACCATTAGTTAACTAATCATCAACACATGTTTTTCACGTGTCATTTTTATACTTTGATTATGTGACATGTATCATATCACCAATTAAACACATATAGAAATATCACGTCAGTAACATGTGTTGATCGTTAATTAACTAACAGTTTCCATTTAACATGTTGTTTTGACAAAAATTAAAATGTTAGAGTTAAAATGCTAAAAACAATAATAGGGGAAAAGCAAGAGTTTTTTTACTACCGTTATAACATATACACTTAAAAGAATAACGTCGAAAATTATAAACACTACTTTGGTTGAAATATACTTTATAAACAAAGTATATAGTTTGACCATTATTTTTTCATTAATCTTAAATATAATAACTATCAATGACTTAATTAATAAAAGTTATTAATCCAAGAATTCAATTAAATAAGAAAAAATGGAATTATTTTAAAAAAATGAATCAACTTATGGTTAAAGAAATTTTTATTGTCTCTAGAGATCATAGGTAAGAGTACCAACGACTGTAGCAGAATAATTGAACATTCATCGTCAACTGATTATGAGTATTTAAAACAGATACAATTTTGTAATTATTTAGTTTAATAAAAAAACAAAATTGGTCGCAAAATCTTTCCATTTAATTTGGCGTTTTCTAGTTTTTTTTTCAAGGTTTAAATGTCTCATTGTCCCCTGAACTATATTATTTGTATCGATTTATCCCTAAAAATATTTTTCTCGACGTTTTACCTCCTCAACTATCAATGGTTACTCCGTTTGCCCCATTCCGTCAATTCCGTTAAAAAAATCTCACTGACCAATGTAAACAAGCCACATCACCCCTTAATATTTATTTTTTTGTCTGAATAAATAAAAACATATTAAATAAAATAAAACATATGATATACCAAAAATACCCTTTCTCCTTCCCCCTCCCTACCCCCCAGTCAAAAAACCAACACCTCCATTTTGCTTTCTCATTTTTTTTTCATCTCTCCAAAACCAAATCCTCCCTTTCCCTGATATCTCTATGTATCAATCCCATGCCATGTATGTATTCAAGTGCATCTACAAGCTCTGCAGCATAATGATATAAGAAGATCCGAGACAGATGATGCTGAGCTGTCAGATTGCATATTGATGACGCTGAGATACCATGAGTTGACATATCAGCACAAAGGCGGGAATTGATTGTGACATGTTCCTCATTGGTGTCGTTTTGAGTATGTTTCAGTCTTTTGACCATAAATTCTGCCGTTTTACCCTCCGAATCACTAGATTTAGTTATTTTTTACTATTTATGGTAATATTTCGATTGTTAATTAGGAAGTCAATTTAAATCCGATTTAGGCCGAAATTTTTGATAGATTGCTTATTTTATTTCGAATTTCAATTTAGAGTGATTTTCGGGATTTTATTATTTTTGGTAAAATTCGAATAAAGATGATTTTTGGCTATAACAGTCCGACTTGTGGACTGCTTTTTGGCATTGTTTGATTTTTTAATATTTTATTAAACCTAGAGATTTTTTTCTCTAATTTTTGGACGAATTTTCTCTTGTGAATCATCTGTCGGAACTAGCCTACAGGATAATCACTATTATGTCTGGCGTAACATAAAAACGAGCTTCATCCTCCGATAAACAGTAGATAGCCGCTATAATAAGTGTTCCAATCCACCGATATGCTGTATGAGGAGTGGTCTTATCCAGATAATACTGATAGAACCTCCGAGCATCATACCCCCATTGAGGCAATGGTGATGAGACTGATGTGGCGTCACCCACAATTCGCTCCATTCAATATTAGCTTCAAATCATAGATCATAAGAGCAGAATCCAATCAATTAAACACAAAGGTCTATCGAATTCCCAAATACATGTAAATACCCATAATCTACATACTTCTTTAAGAGCTCAATTAATTGGAGCACTACTAGCAAAAAATCATCAGAACTCACCGCGTATGATCATGTGCAGCAAAATGCAAATAAAAATAGCAGGTTATTATCAATCATTGAATGCAATGCAAAGGAAACCCTAAAATTATGTAGTTTACCAATCATTTTCCATAAAAAACCCATGCACAGAATCTTAAAACGAAGAACAAGGAAAAACAAATAATCAATCAACCCAAAACCTTCCCTCAGCTTTCTCACCGACCAAACAAGAACCAAATGTTTGTAAAAGAAAAAAGAACCAAGCTTTGAAAAACACAGATCCCGAATTACCAGAACCCTAGATTTACAATCCTATTTTCTCCTATTTTCCAAAGATAAAAAAATCAATCGAAGAAACAAATAAAAAGCCGGATTGAATGAAGTAAAGGTAACGGGAGAGGGAGAGGGAGAGGGAGAGGGGGAGAGAGAGAGAGAGAGATATGAAAAAATTGGGGGAAATGGAAACCGGAGAAAGCAAAATGGAGGTGTTGTTTGTTTTGGGGGGTGGGAGGGGGAAGGGGAAGGGTATTTTTGATATATCATATTTTTTTATTTAATATTTTTTTATTTATTCAGATAAAAAATAAATGTTAAAGGGTGACGTGGTTTGTTTTCATTGGTCAATGAGATTATTTTTTTAAGGAATTAACGAAATGAGACAAATAAAATTACGATATATAATTAAGGAATAAAATATTTAAAAAATACTTTAAGATACATCTCCATATAAATTGTATAGTTGATGGGCAACAAGGCATTTAAGCCTTTCTCCCATTGGCTTTATAAATGGGACTTCGCCACTTCGGAGAAAACTGAACTGTCACAACAAATGAGTCAAAAAGTACCCATAAATGAACATTTCAAGTTATTAAACAAACAATAAAAGGAGTAGAAAATGTAAAAAGAAAGCATAATTGTTGTTGAAAATGTTGGAAACCATGCTCCACAGATGGCAGCCATTAACATTAAGCAGAGAAAATATACAGAGAAAAGGTTTCTACTTTTATTTTATTTAAACAACCCTAAAATCCCAAGGGACGGGTTTTAGTACAATGAGAAATAGGTTTAGTTTCGCTAAGAGAATATTTCAGTCTAACAAAAATGATCCTAACAATTAGTCACCATAACAAAACAACCCTAACTACCTTTCTCTATGATAATGGGGCTGCCTGCCTCACTGTTCATGCGAGGCAAAAGGGTTTTCATCTTGGTAATTCCCAGGGGGATCGTAGGAGCACATAATGAAGACGCCACCCACTTCACAATTCACTCGTGCACATCCTACTTTCACCGTATCCCTCCACACAATCTGTGTATAATGGCCGCACATTTTCCCTGGCTGGCAAACATTGCTCTCCTTGTCGTAATACTTCTCCTCGTTCACCCATGATTTCACGGCTTTAGGAATGCTCCAGTGGTCTTTGGCCGCCAAGAAGATGTTCTCTCCATAGGGTCCGTTGGAGTGGACAATACGGCAATCATTGATGCGCTTATCCGCCCATTTGCGAGCGTACATGGCCAGGCTTTCATCCCATTTGTAGAGTGGTTCGGACTCGTGTGCTCGAGCTTCGTTATGCGCCTTGAGGATTTGTTTTATCTCCGACCGAGGAAGGTGGTACTTTGGCTGATGGCGAGGTGGTTTATTTGGTTTCCGGGGCAGTGGGTTTTGATCAGCGTCTGGTCCTCGAGGGAGAGGGAGCGGTCGAGAGATGGGATGTCTCACTGAATTCCTGTGCTGAAAAGATGGTGCAGTTAAAACAATGGGAGGAAGGTGAACGAAAATGATGATCAAAAGTGCGATGATCCCCATTGTTGTCTTGGCCAGGCTTGTTTTTGTTTCTTTTCATCCTCGAGGAAGATGAAAGGAAAGAAAAGGGTTGCTTATTCTACGACTTTCTAGGATTACCATCAATTTTCCCCTCTCTCCTCCCCAAAGAACTCACCTCTTCTAGTTAATTACTTAATTAAGCCCTTAATCACTTGGCTAATCTTAAAAAAAAGATATCTTTTTTATTGTTTATGCAACTAACCATTTCATGTATATGTATTTCCATGTGTCTTCAAAGTTTTGACGTTGGATATTATATGGTGATTTCATTAGCTTTCTTTATTTGATAAAAAAGGAGAGATTTTTGCACGGGGAATTGATGGAACGACATTTTTGGACTGCATTTCTTGAATTTTTTTGTTGGGGCTATAGGAAAGGGCTAAAGCCTCAATATACAATTTACAGGCTACTATTAATATTGCACAAGAATATCCAGCAAATTGCATAACGGATTTTGCAACTGAGTTCCAAAATGGAGTGTTTTTAACTACAAAGGTTGGGTCTGCAGGCACCCCCTTGGGGTTCTGTTGTTCTTTCCATATTCGCCCCGTTACTCCTAGCTTCAGCTCTTTTCTATCCCTGTCGGAGAAGAAAAGTGCCATGTTACGCTGTATGATAAGGCCGTCGTGGCCATCCCTAACCTTTGGGTGGCTCTCTCTTATGCTTCTTGGGTTGCCTTCCCAGATGAGTTTCCTGCCATTTCCCCCAACTTCTAGGCTGTAACTGTAGTTGCGGGCTTCGATCTCATCGCCCATGAAACAAAGGAATGCCATATAAACAGGGACCGTCCCGAGCTGGAGGATTCGAAATGAAGACAAAATTACTGGCCAAAACAGTGGAATACCTGAACATACATGACAAAAGATGCAAACCATTTCATATACTTTGCAACTTCAGGGCTGGAAATTTTGAATAACTGGCCGCGAACATGCATCGACAGCGTGTTCTTCATTATCTACATCAAAGAAGATTAGGAAGGGTTACATAGTCAAATAAATATTTCCATTACATTTCTTAAAGAAATTAAATCGCCGAACTGGTTCAGTGAGGCAAAGAGACCAAGCACAAGAATGAAGATTTACATTTGGCAAGACCATGTTGTATAACAATGGAATAGGTTACCAGCAAGAAGCATATCTCATTTTCATCATCTATAAATTAAATAGTTCAATTCTTAATCAGAAGGAAGAAGTTTTAAGACGAATGTAACTCACAGTAAGCATCCAGATAGCGTTTTCTACTTCCCGATGATTGGACTTGACATAACGATGGTTAAATGTACACCCAGAATGCATGTCCACCTTGTGGTCATCCCTTGGGCAACAAGAAATGGAATATCACCAACAACGGAACATTTTGATCCAGCATATGAGCAATTGTATGGCCTGAAGTTACATAATGCTTCGTGTTTGAGTTTACTGTAGTACGGAAAGATCTTCGGGCATCTGAGCGATGTATATTTGCAAGGCAGTTTAACTAACCATAAGAGATTAAACTTAAAGAAATCACCCAAAGCCAGGGAGTGACCATAAAAATTTAGAAAAGAGAAAGAAATCCAAACTATTCAAACCCAGAAAAGGAAGTGATTTTTCTCCAAGAAAAGAGAAACCCACAAAAGAAAACTGACCTGATGGATAGGAGGGTACATAGAATTGGTACAGAAGTGACATTCAAGGAGTTCATGAACACCGGTGGTACTTGGATGAACCGCTGATGACACAGCACTGTTGTTGTTGTTGCTGCTGTTCCCATTGTTGCCACGGAGCTTAGAAAATGAAGGCCACTGGTAATGATGATGGATCTCATCATCATCAATCACATCTGAAGATGTCATACAATCTATGCTATCTGATTCCATACGAAAGGAGATAAAAATCAATCAAATTTGATCGGCTATTCCACAATGGGTATAACTCCTTTTAAAAAAACTACCATTTGGAGTCTCTTTTTCTTATCTTCATTGGTGCGTCTAAGTTTCCAGAGAGACAAATGATCGACATGAAAGGGTTTCAGGTTAAAGAGAAAGCGTTACTGGAAAAAGGCCAAAATTATAAGGATTGATAAGGTGATGAGGAGGAAATATTAGTCGAAGCAATGGTTAATAAATTCGCCATCACTGTTGCTGGTTATAACTTGTTAACGCTTGCTAATTATTGTCTCTGTGTGTGCGTGCGTGCGTGGAGAGAGAGAGAGAGAGAGAGTATTTGTTGGGAAAGGAGTAGGGACCCGGGGGGTTCTGAATCTCAAGGCTGAAGGTGATACCGGTTTTTTTCCATTTGAATGATGAACTACTGCTCCTAGTAGTATTTACGTAGTATTAAAGAATTCGAAGTTTTCAAAATTTTCGGTACTTACACAGCCACTGTTTAATGCAATGAATATCCAATCAGTTTGTGCTTTATATATTCATACGAACACCATTGAAATTGTTCGACTAGTACTTGCCTAAGGATTTATCAGCATGAACCTTCAGGAAATGCCTGCATACTTGATAGGAAACCATCTACCATTGATTGGGAAAGGCTTATTTATAAGATGCATCCTCACCCTGGGTCATCTCTTGTCGTTGCATCTGTTGTCCGGGTGTTTAGAAGTCTCTGAGCTAACCTATCTTTTGTCGTAACTTTCTTCCGCAGCATGGATTAATTTAACTAAACTACCAGATTCAAATTCTAATAACTTATATTAAACTTGAAGTTAGTACTTCTATATTTATTGATTTGATAAGGAATGTCACCTGCTCACCCTACTATATTAACTAATACAATTGGCCGCCATCCAATCTGGACTGTTAGGAACATTATAGCAATTTGTGTCCTAGAAAGAACATGTACCTTTCCAAATGATGTAAACGGCTTTATGGACACTATATGCTATGGCTTAGGCCGGATGAATCATGAAAAATATACAACTCCATAGCCTTAATTTGTTTTTGACAGAAAAATTACATGTCAGTTCCATTTCCATACAAGCAATAATCAACCTGCATGAAGTTGTCATTGGAGTTTTTGTCAAGCAGTCTCAGCTCAATTTCCAGTCAATATGCCAGATGGAGTTAGGAATGAGAGAAAATCTCCTTTATTGTGTAAAAGACTGATCTAACATTCTGGCTCTTTATTTATTTACAAGAATATGTAAAAAGGAATCCTCAAAAACTGAACAAAACACATGAATGTCACAAAACTGACAATACATGGTCCTGCTTAAATGCTTCATCATACCGATTCGCAATGGTACAATTAGATTCCTCAAGCTCGAAGAGGAATTTGATCAAAATAGCTTCATTAATGCAATGAATATTTAATCAGTTTGTGCTTTATATATTTATACGAACACCATTGAAATTGTTTGACTAGTACTTGCCTAAGGATTTATCAGCATGACCATGACCCTTCAGGAAATGCCTGCATACTTGATAGGAAACCATCTACCATTGATTGGGAAAGGCTTCTTTATAAGTTGCATCCTCACCCTGGGTCATCTGTCTTATAGTTGAATCTGTTGTCCGGGTGCTTAGAAGTCTCTGAGCTAACCTATCTTTTGTCGTAACTTTCTTCCGCAGCGTGGATGCCAGAGTTTGTTTGTTTCTTCTCCTCACTGACCTCTCTCCAATAGTTTCCCCCATGTCTTCTCCAAAAGCTGCTGATATTGATGTTGAAGCCATTGCAGCATCACGAAGAACTTCATTGTGTTCCCGAACTTTAGCATGCTTTTCCAGCTGTAATGACCGTTTTGCAAGTTTTCTCTTCCTTGCTTCCTCTTTATCTCGCTCCCTAACATTATTCACAGCTTGTTTTGCCAACTGCTCTGCTAAACATGAGCCTAAATCAGGATCTGTATTATCTGTTGAAGAATTCTGATTGATTGAATTTCCTGCATCATCTCGAGGTATAATGGGCCCATGAAATGGACAAATCTTCAAATCTCTTCTCTGACAAAGTCCGCCTTTATTCAAAGGTGCACAGCATGGTTGGAATTCTCCTAACTTTTCCTGGTAAATAGTCGCCTGAAGATTCAATTCAGCAATTTTCTCAGCTGATCTACTCTTCCCCAGTGATTGTCAAGCTCCAAGCCTTTTTGATTTGCTAATATATCCCTATTAGAGACTGATCCCCAATTATCCAAGAAACAACCCCACTTGAGAACTGGAGCTTCAGCCAAAAGGTCACTCCTGACAGAATTTTCAGGTCCCAGAGTCTCTTTGCCCTTAGAAAAGTTACTGCTGTCTTTATCTTTGGCTTTCACCTTGCTAGAAGCTGGCAGTTTAGCAAGAGTTTCGCTTTGTTTATTGGATTTCTTGCAATTCCTATACTCAAGAGATCTACTTTTCTCATCTGCATTAGAACTTTCTACCTCCTTACGCTTCTCAGTTTCAGTAGTAATTCCATTCTTGGTAGATCCAAAGTCACCTTCCTCCCAGAAATCTTCCCCCTCTTTGTTATTTTTTGCAGTTTTGGGTAAAGCACAACCAGATTCTTCACATTCCTTCTTCACAGACATAAGAGTGCTCCGTATATCAATCAACTCCTTCAGCATGGAATCTCGTGACCTGTTGTCAGCCACTTCAACCCTTATAAGCAGAGAAATCCTTTCTTGTACTGAAACCAGATGCTTAGTCACTAAAAGCTTATACAGCTCTCTTAATGCATCGAAAACCACTTTGTTATCATTGTTCTCATGTACTTTTTTTCCTTCCTTCAACAAGTCAAGGCAGATCTGCCTCAATTCAGCAGAACGGAACTCTACAAAATCTTCCTCATCCAATAGGATGGGAGGCACACATTCCTCTTTAGTACGAACAATATCTAAACATTGTCTAATCTCATCAACCGTAGTCTGTATTTCTTCCTTAACAGAACTAAAATTCATCTTCAGTGTTTCAAACATGTTCTGTAAAATCTCCCGAGTCCTTCTCTCCCTTTCCCTTCTCTCTCGTTCTATTCTGGCTGCAGTCTCCTGAAGATTAGGAAATTGAAACCTGAGAGTATTCTTAAGATAATCAAAACCTAATCTAAGCTGCCTGTAATGAATCCCAAAAGATGCATTCCACTTCTCCAAGAACTCAATTGACTTAGAACGCAAAGTGGAAGCAATTGCTGAGGCCTGAGGGAGCTGGGAGTGGCATATTTCTTCTAAACCTAACACTCAAGGCCAACAACTGATCTAACTTCTCAACCACAAGGGTTCCGAAAATCTTAGATCGCATGAAAAGCTCATCGATTATAAGAAGCGTGAGATAACGAACCTGCAATCACAACTCTCATAAGCTCAAATTCCCTCAACACCAGTCTCTTTGGATTTTTCTTTTCATAATTCAGAAAACTAAATGAATTATCATTAAAAGGATAAGATCCGGAATTTCAATTCAAAAATGAAAACCAGAAACTCTTGAAATCCGACTGCAAAACGTGCATAAAGTAAAGTAAATTTGGATTAAACCAAGGGGGGAAACCCGCAAATGTAGCTGGAATCAAAATATGTTCTTTTTAGAAACTCATTGAACAAGGATGGATAGACGACCTGGGAATGATCGCGCTTCATGAGGTCCATGAGGGTATGGGCGGCCAGTCGGAGTTCCGAATCGGATGAACGGACCACCGATTTGATTGCTTTGAGAAGGCGTGGATCAACCTCGGAAGCGGTCGAGTTTGTAGCTTTTTCTACCAAAGTCTCGACTTTTCCTCGCTCCTCCATCTCCATCGCCATTCCCCAATCGTATCAATTCTCTAATTTTTCTCTTTTAATTTTCTTCTTCAAAATCCCTAATTTATATCCTCTGTTAATGTTCAACAGTCAACTGGATAGAGGCGGTGTCTGGGCATAAAACTTTATATACGAGGCATTTCATAAAGCAGACCTTCAACATGGCCCTTTCGGAGGTTTCGTCCATTAGAGTCTTAACCCCAAATGCGTAAATGTCAATTTAAACAAAATTATGTTAAATTTTTTACCAAATAAATTTTGAAGAGTTTAAGATTATACTTATTTTGAGTTTGACTTTGACTTTGAGTTAGTTTTGGATTTGGATATTTTATATGTTAGTGGAGGGTCAGAATTTAGGTATTCTTAATGTAGTAATTATGATTGATGTGGTTATTGAGCGAGTCGATCGCGAGTTGGACAGTGTTCGATTCGTGCTCGTTAAGAATAGTTGTTAGTCAACTCGTTGTTCATTAAGTTTGTTACTCATTAAGCTCGTTGCTCATTTCTAGTCTCGTTGTTCGTTAAGCTAACCGAAATTTTTACTTTTATTTTCTTAACTACAAATAAAATCTATTAATATTATATAAAACTTAATATAAACATAAATTAATGAATTTAACCAAAACATTTATCAAAAGAGTGTAAAAAGTAATTTTAAAATATATACTCCAAAGCAACAATCCACAAATATATTAAAATAATAAATAAGGGTTGATTTTCGAGTGTGAAATAATTTTTTAAGATAACCACTAAAAAAATTATAAAAAAAATTAAAGAGCATTGAGTCGAGTTTGATTTTGCTCGACTTAATTCGTTAAGGTTCAAGTCGAGTTAACCCAAATCGAGTTTTGACCGAGTTGAATTCGAGCTGCTCAACTCATTAATCACCCCTAATTACGCTTAATTATTGTATCCATCAAAATTGATTCATGTAGTAAATTAATGTATTTTATTTATTTTAATGGTAAACTACATTAAATATTACTTAACTTTTAACATTACATTGTTTATATATATTACGATTTTGGATAATAATTGAATTTGGGTGTCGGAATTACTATTCGTCTTAAATTTGAAATATACTTAAATAGACACACTCAGTTTCAGACATTTATCATGAGACTTCATATTACTTATATAAATAGTGGGTTTAAAAAATCTGACCTCGTATTATAAATAAATAAAAAAATATTTGTATCTTGATCATCTAAAATTTTAGCAAATTTAAATATTTCACATAATATTTAATTTATGAAAATACATAAATAATTTATAATAAAAAAGACTTGGATAAATTTACAAAAATACATAAACTAATCAGCTTTCATTCTTAAGATTTCGTGTTGTGCAATTCGATTGGTCCAGTATTTGTTAGTTCAGGTGAAAATTTGAAGACACAAGCTTAAACCATTTAAGTTGCAATGGAGGAAGGAAAAAATAATATACTTTAAATGGTAAGTTGTGTATTAGGTGAAAAAAAATACTAATCTCAATAGTTAAAAGCATGGTAAGTAAAATTTAACTCAATTCGAAAAATCAATTCTTTTAATTCAACACGACTTAACTTTGAATTATAATTTCATAAATTCAACATAAATTTTTTAATGTCAAATCAAATTATAAAATATAATTTGAATAACTCAAATACTCAATTTTTTAATACTTAATAGATTGATTTTTAAGTTTGAGTCCGATTTATCATCTCTTTATAATATAAATGGCGAATGCACTAAACGGGCCAAATACATCCCCATTATTTTAAAAAATTGTTAAATTTAACTTAATGTGTTAAAAAAAAAAGAAAAAAAAATTACAATTCTTGCATACCCATTATTTTTAAAGAAAAAAAATTAAAATTTTAGACCCCTATTTTTAAATTTTTAAATCTATCACTATATAATATATGTATATGAAAAAACATAAAGAAATATATATATAATTATAAAAAAATCATTTCAATTAGAATAAAATAATATCACAATATTATAAATATTTATAATTAAATTTAAACAAAAATTTAAAAATTCAGCTCCAGAGAATCAAATTTTAAAGTCAAATTCGAGTTGTAAAATAAAAATTGTCACCTCAAATAACTCAAAATATTAAGAGTACCACAATCGTGAGAGCTGTGAGGCACAGAAGAGTTAAGAGAGAGAAAAAAACTGGTAACTGCCACCCAATGCTTACAAAACCCAAAACATCTTCACCGTCGAATTTCATGCATTGTTCTCTAGCTTATCATAGATTCTGTTTCCTTGGCGGTGGAAATTGGACTAATAAATTTCATTTTTCTCCTCAAAATGGCATAGCAAGGTATCCAAAAATAAATATACCCATATTTAAAAGACTAGGGGTAAATAAAGAAGAAAAAAAGAGGGAATCTGTTTCTAAAGCAACCAACAAGGCATAAGTTGGTTAAACTCGACATTTAAAGTAATCCTGCAAATATACCTCAATACGGCAGAATATATAATATCAACAATCACACGCAATTGGCTGCTGCACTACCTTGTTGTATGTCGAATCCTTTGAAGAAGCTTCCAATCAGGTTCCCTCGTTATAACTTTTTAAACCCTACGGACTGTTTTAAACGCAACCGTGCGTGCTATCCATGCGATGAAAATGGCTTCAAGGAATTCGGTTCACCTGAAAATGCCGCTATCAACTGTTCCCTTGTCAGAGGTTCCGGTCCGTGAGACTTGACCACAAATGTATGGAACACAGTATCATCTGCTGCAATGAGTTTCGAGTCGACTATATCAATCTGTGCCTCTTTGAATGCTTGGATTACTCTTGATGCAGGATGTGAATCTAAAGGACAGTTTACTCTTACAACAACTGCATCGTCAACAGCTTGAACATTGATATCAGGAGCTTGGCTATGATTCTCTGCGTTTCTATTAGGATCCAACCCTGGTGAAACTCTTGAAGTACTACCAAACTTTTCCCTCTCTCTTTCCATGACCTGAAGTTTTGCTTGAAGCTCATTGATGTAAGCAATTGCATCTCCCAACAATGAAGCTTTGTCCATCTTTGATATGTTAGGCACAATGGCTCGCAAGGCATAGAACCGTTGGTTCAGCTTCTCACGCCGCTGCCTCTCTGCTTCAACATGATTAAGAGCTTCTTCTCTTCCATTAGCAGGCTTCCTACCTCTTTTCCTGGGCTTCCTCTCATCAGCTGCACTCGGCTTCTCTTCCTTGCACGGTGCTTCGACATCTGAGTGTTCGGATTCAGCGCCCAATGGCTGAGTACTCACGTAAGACCTTGAAGTAGCCCCGGAGAAATCAATCTGCATTTGAACTGTCTTTTGTGACTGATGATGGTTAAACCGAAACTCATCCCGAGCCTCATTGGCAAACTCTTGAAACTCTATTGGGCTACCTTGTTTCACACCATGAACATGTGACCAATTATGACCATTTTGATTACTTGAAAACGAAAGCCCACCTCCATTAACATGTGCTCCCCATGTCGGTCTAACAGCAAGTTTCTCCCGATGACTTGATCGGCCATTCGAAGTGTTGTTCAGATCCTGCCCAAAAATCTTGGGAATGCCTTGAAATCTCTCCACGATTGTCGAGTTCAAAACAATGGTGTTTTCATCGTTTTTCTCATGCACCATTGGCATCGCTACTCCCACTTGCAATCCCTCCACAATAGTTGAATTCAAAAGCAATGCCGACTTAGATGAGAATGAACTTACTATCGATTGCAACAACTCTAAGCTTTCAGGTACCAGTCTCACGGACCCCAATTCAACAACACCAACATCAGTAGGGACCAAAACAATGGTCTGAACTCCGGCAGACCTTGTCATAAAGGACCGAACACAATAATCAGAACCCGACTTCAAAGCATCCATAATCCAAACATGTTTCCCAGATGCAAAACATTTCCCCGGACCACCTTGTCCAGGTGGAAAAGAAAAATACATGGATGCTAAAAAGAACATCTCAGTACCAGTAACCTTATCCAAACCAAGTGCGAAATTATCCTCATCTGATCCACCAAAAACATCATGCAATTTCTGCAAAACAGTTTTCCTCATCTTCTGCTGAGTCTCCTCTTCGGGCCGCAGATTAAGAATCCGAGTAGCTTCAGATTCTTCTCCTTGTTTAGGCTCTCTGCAATGAACAATATAAAGCAGCCATTTCTTTTTCATTTCCAGATCTCAAGGGCCTGTAAAAATAATCAAGAGAACCCCAAAAAAATTCAATCAAAGCGTAAATAAAAAAGAGAGAGGCTGTAATTGAGGATATATGAATAGTAATACACACCGGTTTAGAGGGGAAAGCAAGTATGCGTTCAACGGAAGAGTGTTGAAAAGTCGCTGGGCAGTGTTCTTTGAGGATAAAAAAGAAAACTTCCCTAGAAAACAAAAGGATCAGTTAAGAGTCGAGGTGCAAGCAGAAGCAAAAAGGGGTTCCATTAAATTTCCCTCTTTGTAGCAAATCATGAAACAGAAAATTAAGTGATGAGTGGGGAGGGAAAGGGGAAGAAGGGTGGATTTGTTGTATAATGTTCATTTTTGTAACTGCAAAAAGCGGACCATGGTTAAGCATTCGAACTCGGTTAAAACTCACCGTGGTTCAATTTGTTTGGACCTTTTTATTTTATTTTAACTTAAAGATAATTTCATTTCTGTTTTGTAAATTCAGTTTGCATCAATATTATCTTTAAATTTATTTATTATTTTAACTGAAATTAATAATTATAATGATGGCTTGATAGAGAAATTAATTAAATTTGATAATAAATTTAATTTTTTACTAATTCAGATATATAATTAATTTCTATTAAAAATTTGAAAGCTTATTTAATATTTGAATAGAAATATTATAATTTTAAAAATATTAAAATAATTAAAGTATTTATAAAAAATAAGTAAAAGTTAAATTTTAAAAAATGTAAAATAATAAACTATACATATGAAAAAAATAAATTTTTAAAATATTTTTATGTTATGGATATCTGTTTATATGAATGTCTGCTTAAAATTATGCTTAAGAGTCACTTTATTCTCCTGTAATAGACAAAATTTATCATTTTCGTCCTTATGAAATTTTCGCATCAACTTAACTCTTAAAATTGTTTAATTGTATCATTATATACACTAAACCCTAACTTAAAATCAAAAATCCTAAACCCTAGACGTTAACCCGAGCCCCTAGCACCTAAAACTCAACTTGAAAACTTAAATAATAATGAATATTTTAAACATTGATATAATTTAATAACTTTAAAAGTTAAAGTAATATAAAAATATTGTAGGGACTGGAATGATAAATTAAATTATTATGATAAAAAAATACTCTTAAACCTTAAAATTATGATGTATTGAATATGACTTTTATGCTGAAAGTTTAGAAAAGGATAAATCCCAAGTGAGGAGACCAACAACTTTAAGGTTTGAAGATCAAATTGGTAAATAGAGCCATAATAGAGCACCCCCGTGGTTTAAATTGAGTAGAATCCAAGGCAAAACCAACGGAAGTTATACCAAACCCTCCAAGGAAAAAAGTTATTATTTGGGTTAATAATAAAAAATAATATTTCTTCCACTCTATTAAATATTTCTATTATTGACCTTTAAAATTAGTTTTTAATTAACTATAATTATTTTAAATAATTAAATTTTATATAATATATATTTAAAACCCACTTGATTTAAGTTTTTTAAAACATTTTTTTATTAATAAAAAATTAAATAATTTTGATTAGAAAAAATCAACAATAAATAGATTTTATTATTAATATGAAATAAATATAAAATAATATATGTTCAACGATAACTTTTAATTATTTGACAACAGACATTGACATCCCTATATTTCTAGTGCTCGACGATCCTTAAAGAATATCAATAATTTATTTATCATTAAGATCGCTTGATTCATATAATAATAAATAGATTTAATGAGAAAATATAACATATTTTTATTATATAGACTCACAAAGCTGCATATCTCATTCAAATTATGAAACCTTGCATAATCGTGATTGATTAAATAAATGCAGGCAGGTGATTTGTTTGTGATTCAATAAAATGTTTTATAATATGGTAGGTCTATCTATATATGTGACAAATATATCTATAAATCGACGGTTAGTCATGAATCAAAGGAAGGCGAACGGCGGTAGTCTTCCCTGTTTTATGTTTTAAATTAGCTTATGTAATAGATATTTCATATTTTTAATTAATAATTTTTTTTCATCTTTTATTAATTTTCTTTTAAAATTCTAAAAAATTATCATCTAACATAATATTATACTTACGTCCTGTTTAAGGTCCAAAGTGTATGTTCATTGGGAGACGTTACAGACAAGACAAACTCCCCCAACATTTATCAGACTCAATTACTTTCTTCATGAAAATTGCAGGCGCCTTAGATTGGCGTAGCAGTAGCTGCAAAGGACAGAATAAAATAATATTTTTATTTGTAATAAAACAATAAAAAATAAGAGAGAGGAGTAATAAAAAAGAAGACTCATGCCACGTGCTGTCTCTTCTGGTCTCTCTAATACGTGTGCACGCTGCATGTTGATCTTACTTTTTTTTTTTCAAACCGAAAAAGTAAATAAAAAAATAGGGGGGGGAGCATGGGACGTGAAGCTCGTGAAGAACACGTGAGAGTTTATTGAATCGAGGTGAGTGAGAAGAACGTGATGTGCATTTAATATTTTTTAATCAGGAAAATAATATTTAAACGATTTTGGAGTGCACCATTATTTGATAAGCCCACGGCATCGGTGCTCTAGGACCGCTTACGTGTCCAGATCTATTGCTTGCACTGCTTTACTGTTTTGGTCCACATTTATTTTACCATTTTCACCCCTCTGCAGTTAAGAAAAGGGATAGTTTGGTCTTTAAGCATTTCAGGTCAAGGACGTACATGTGCGGATTGCTGGGCCACATGAATTGGACAATCTGCGATGTCTTTTGGTGAAACCAAAAGATAACGTGAAATGTCTTTGTTTTTACGTTTAAAAGGGTTTCGATAAACATTAAGATTAAATTAATGGCCAATGAAGGTTTCGTTGCCTAAATGTTTCCTTTTCTTTCTCTTGAATAAATTATACCGTTTTCACTTAATTTTATTCTTTTTTATTTTATTCAGCATATTTTCAATTTTTTAAATTTATTTACTCAACTTTATATGTTTAATCAATTTGTTAAATTCACCGTTATATTTTTAAATGTGTTATGACATGACACAAACATCAAAACGATGTCGTTTTGAGAAACTCAAATATATAATAAAATGAAGTTGTTTCGAATCATATTCTTTCCACCATCGATTGTCATCGTCGACTATAGTAGATAGTGACCATTTGGTCTCAAAATTCATGAGTCGGCTAGTCTAGACCATGAGTTCAAATCTAGTGGTTGTTGTACTGGAACAAGTCTAAAAATTCATGAATCTCGACTGAAATGTTTCGGCTTCTTCACTTTCAATCTCCAATACATGGACTTTGAAATAAGTTCTGATAAAATGGAGGTCGAATTCAGACTCAATGTATCGAGGCGAAACGGACCATGAAATTTGGGAGTGAACAGTCACCATCTATGGCGGTTAATGATGACATCGAGCCACTTTCTGTTTTTATTTTATAGTTGGGTGAGTAAAATACGAAAGAAAATAAAATTCGATGAAAAAAGGTGTAATTTACCCCATATAGTTTTAAATATTTTATATTAAATAATAATAAAAAATGACACTTCGTCAAAATATTAAGGAGATAATATCAGAGTGAGCAAAATAATTTTATTAATAAAATTTAATAAATAAATTAGAAAAATTGAAAATATAATAAATAAAGTATAAGAAAAAAGAAAAATTTAATGGAAAACGGTGTAATTTATATTTTTTATTTCTTTTCCGTGTGGGTCCTACAAAGACCCAACTTGATTGATGGTGATTTGCACGTGGTGAACGTGTATCGCGTGGTTAATTTAGGGAATAGTATACGTCTTACGTTTTGGATCACCCTAAACCATTGTTTTGGAAATCGGACCGGATCGACAGGTTCAATTGATTTAATCGAGAATTTTTGTCTAGTCTGATTTAATATACATCAGTTGAACCGTTACTAGTAAACTGGTCAGAACCGTTGAACCGTTCAACTTGAAAAATTTAAAAGTAAGCTCAACTCGATTCAAACTCACGAGCTAAAAATTATGAAGTTTAACTCGAACTCGAAATATAATATTGAAACTTGAACTCGAAAAGGCTTGAACTCAAAAAAAAATTAGAAGCTCGATTGAAGCCTAAAATTTGAGCTTAATTGAAGTGAAAGAATAGTTCACTTAATGCTTACGAAAAGGCTCTATGATTTTGAATGCCAAATTACCTTTATTATTTATAGAAGTTAGTTGAGATGATTTTTTATGTTTCTTAGTCATGTGGGATTGTTTTTAAAAAAAAATTAAATCAAACAATATTATTTTGTTATGCTTTTTTTAGCCCCAAGTTTATTTTTAATTAGTTATATATAATTATTATTTAATATGTTTTACTCTAAATATTATGTTGTAGTTAATTTGAATCATTTTGTTTCACTTTATTTTATGGTTTTTAACTTATATATGTTATGACTTGCTTTGAATATGAATTGTGATATAAAAAATTATTTTTTATTAAATATTTTTGGTATTTTTATTTAATTTTTTAAATAATTATGACGTCGTCCGGTTCTTCCGACCAATCGGATCGATTCGACCGATTGAATCAATGAACCGGTAGCATGGTCGGTTCGCTAACCGGTCCAGTTCTGAAAACCATACCCTAAACAACAACTCATTCACTGTTGACTCTGTACTCATAATATATCTCATTTACTTCCAGAATTATGCCTACACTAAATATATATTTCTCAATTACAAGAGGTAATTAAACATACAGCTAATCCATGTCAGGAATATCGACCATCATTGTTATCTCTATAAAAGATAGGCAATAACTTGTTAGGTGGAGTTGGAAAATAATAATATCTGAGAATTTTATCATACTAATTTAAACATTCCATCAGCCTATTGAGCGAAATTACACGTGTTGTAAATTGATTAGTTGTTGCAAAGTTGTTATTTGAGTTGTTGACCTGTTAAGACGCTGTTAGATCTAGATGTGCATGCTGTGCATGCTTTATATAGCCTTGTACTTGAAGCATTGATTATACAATAAGAAAATACTTTCTTCTACTCTCTTTCTCCAATTTTGTATTTTCAGTAAACTCATTATGGTACATTCGTTTTAAGGTCCCGAGGCTTTCTCTTTTTGGTTCTTTTGCTGCACTAGTTGTCAGTTGGTGTTCATGGAGTATCCTGCGAGCAATGCCAAGACCTTTACTGACAAGAAGTTTAATGTAATCTTTGACGAGATGAACTTCTTACTTTGGAAGCAACAAATTTTGCTTACGGTTCGGAGTCATTGGTGGAGCGACTGTATGAGGAATTTGTCGTTCAAGATAGTGTTCTTGCATCTTGGTTACTGTCGACGATCAGTC